TCCACCTCCTCGTTGTGGGGACCGGTTACCCTGGCGATTTAACGGGGGACCTTGACCCCTACCTCCCGCTTGGCGGTTTCCCTGTYCGCCAACCCCCTGTGCGCCCGGTCCTCGGCCTCCCATGGCCTGGCCCCTTTGGCCCTGGCCTCCTCCTCTACCTTGCGGCCTCCCTCTGGCCGCGACAGCAGCGTAAGACCTCCCCTGACCCACACTACTGCCATCATCTTYGAGGCCCCACTCAATCTGATCATACAGGACCTCATCAGTACCACCTTCCTCTAACGTGAGGATCATGTGATCCTTGGCCTTTACTTGGCCTGAGATAGTACGATTCTTCCACTTCTTTCCCTTCTCCAGGTCCTTATGCCAGAAAGTGGTAACTGGCATAGACTTTGACTCATACAGGACGACCTCCCTACTCAATTGATCATATGTGATGTCGGCCTGCTGAGACTTATCAAAGAAATGCCCGCGTAAGGCCCTCTGGGATGGCACGATAAAACAACTTGACCAACTGGGGCTCGGTGACCCCGTGGTCAGGGACGGCTACCAAGTCGTCCATAGTACTCTTGAGTGCCTTAGCACTCCTCCACTGCCGCGAGTGGATCGTTTGGAGCTGCTTATCAAAGGCTCTAATGCCTCGCGTTGGGTCAGCGAACCGCTCCTTGAGGAGCTTGAGGAATTGAGAAAGAGGAGTAACTTTGGAATACGCAACCAGGTTGTTTTCACAACCGGCTGTACGCGCAAGAGACCTGGCAAAACTAGCTGCTTCATCTTTGAGGGTCTGGAAGGCCACAAGGACTTGTTCCTCGACCAAGATATGTTGCAAATAAATATAACTATTGACACTCGATTCCCAGTTGTCAAAGTTTTCTTCCTTCTTCCCCCCGTACGCATCTAGGAACTTGAGTTTCACTTGATCCTTACTGGGTCTGGCCTCTCCCTCTACAGCGGCTACAGCTTTGGCACCCTGAATGGCGCCCTCACAAAACTTCCCTACATTATCTCTCAATTGCTTCACTTCGCCCCCAATATGGGTGACGAACTCGCGYGCGAAATCTCTAAACCCTGACCGCATGGCACTCAACGCTATATCCTGGTTCCAGCTTGCCTGGCGCTCCTCCATCCAGGCCTTGCTCAACACCTCCAGATACCCAGTACTTTGTCCCACTTGGCCTTATCGTYTGGTTGGGCCAGCACCTCCGCTCTACACTCCTGCACCTTTGCCACCTCTGCGGTCATCTTGTTCACTTCCTCTCTCCTCTTCTTCTTCTCTCTCTTCATCCTCAGCTTCCATGCTAACTTTTGTTCCTCCTCCCTCTCTCTTCGTTCCATCGGGTCTGTCATGGCTGCTAGCTCGGCGGCCAGCACAGCCTTCTCATCCTTAGTTACATAGGACTCCGCCTCCTCGTCTTCCCCCAACGATAAATTAGCGACCCACTTGCTAATCTTCTTCTCTAGCCTTGTATCTGTTTCCCTTGTCATCGTGCCACCACTACTCCCTTCTCCACTCTCAATCCTCATCCTCTCTTTCTCTTCTTCTGCTGCCGCTTCTGCTTCAACAACTTTTCTTCTTTCTTCCTCCTCTTGTTGTACTTTCTTCATCTCCTCCTCCAATCTCTTCATCTTCGCCGCCTTCTCGTCTGCGATAGCCTTTAGCTTGGCTTGCTTTTCACGCTCTTTCCTCTCCTTACTCACTCTGACTAAGGCGACCATATTTTCTTGTTGCTCCATGGTGTAGGGGCTAGTCTCCTTCCCAYTACGGGTCTCAACCATGGTGATAAGTGTACAACCGGGTTAGTGGTTCCAAACCTCACCACGTAGACGTCAACCCCTGACTGACAGACCTACTGACTCAATCTAAGACTCACAGAATCCTGACAGGGATCCTGTCAACTATGGTCTCTAGCCT